GGAGAGGTGGCAGGGCCTGGCCGTCAGGCCAGAGGCCTCCGTGAGCTGAGTGCCGGCCCCTCCCCTGTGACCTCGGCTGGGCCTGGTTCTTGCCCCTGTGGCTCTGTACCCTATTTAACATTTCACCCCACTCTACACAGCGGCCCTGTCACCCGCTGATCTTTTCCCCTCACCCCCAAAATCATCTCACCAACCTGGCCTGGGGAGAGGGCTTTTTGTGTCCTGCCTGTAAGTTCAGTAGCTGTTCAACCTATTCTCAAGTTTCATGTTTTCAGATGTGACTTGGTATTTTCTCCCCCACAGGGATGTGAGTTTGGGGAGCCTGGCCTAGTTCTTAAGCTTTCTTTTTAAGTGTTTCTAATGCCTTCTCTGATCTGGCTCCACTGCCCTGTAAGACAGCTCAGGGAGAGAGCAACAAGCTCTTCCTGGAAGGGAGTGAGGGCGGTGGGACCTGGTGCTCTCACCAAGGCCTGTCCTGACTCTCTCTTTGCTCTGCCTCTTGTATCCGAGGGAGAATAATTTTCTTTTTTGCATTTAAGAACATGTGTATGTGTCTCTGTCTCAGCCTCCCTTCTCCACCCCCAGGAACGACAGGGCCCCAAGATGCTCCAGGAATTCCCCTAAGGACTCCTGGCAGTGTTTGTCACATCTGGGCTCCCATTCAACACTCTGGGACAAGGCAGCCCGGTTCAGTGATTTTAATGCAAGGGAATTCACTACAGACCAGCAAGGTCGACTTTCAGGGTGCTCAGTTTCCCATCACAGTAGAAAAGCACCGTGGTCCTCTGAGGCTGGGGCTCAGCCCACCTGCTGGGGCTGGGGCAGCGCGGTGGCAGTGCACCTGAGCCCCTCGTCTGTCACCAGCGCCCACATGGCCCACATCTCTAGGGGGCTGAGGCGGTGCACCAGCAGGAGACCTCGGAAAAGGCAGGGGTCCAGGGGGTTCAGGGGCCGCCGGATCCCAAACGTCTTGAAGCCAGCGTGGTGTGTGTGGCTGATGCCCAGCTTCCTGAGGCACATGCCCACAAAGATGTCGTCGATGGGGAAGAGGTCCGCCTCTTCCATGGCTGCCTGCAGGCACTGCATGGTGGCTCTGGACATGACATAGCCACCGCCCCCAGCATAGGGTGGGTAGTGCCGGCCCCCGTACATGGAGGGTGGGATGAAGTACTTGACCTTGGTGTTCCTGTTGGGCAGGGCCTGGCAGATGACATCTCCCACCAGGAGGTCCTGGCCTGGGTCCCAGCCATCCAGGAACTGCAGCACATTGGGGATGTGGACAAAGACATCATCTCCCTTTAGCACAATACGAGCCTGGGGGCAGGCGGCCGCCATCCAGCGCTGCATGTGCAGCTCCTTGAGCGTCAGGTTGAAGAAGTCCTCGGCAAAGTCCCACTGCAGGATGTCGTCAAACTCGCGGCTCTCATAGGCCAGCAGCTGGGCCGGGGGCTTAGGTCCGGCTACCCCTAGGAGGAACACCAGCTTTAGGG